CTAGAAGAGCTGCCCCAGAAGGAACAGGTTTGCAGAGAGAGGCCTGCATGGTTGTAGTCCCATGCATAGTACAGGTCACCTGCTGCCCTGCAGAGGTAGAGAATTGGGGGAAAGAAGAATCTGCATAGGCACAGGTGGACAGAGGAGCTGCTTGTTTGCTATTTTTTTAATCCATAAAACAAGTAATAGCTTGTCAGTGTTTAGCTACAAAAAGCAAATTACAAGTATTTTTATTTCTTCTTCTATGATACTTAAGTTTTTGAAAATATAACTTACTTACTTTCTCAATACTGAAATATCTTCACTGTTTTCATATCTAAGTATTGAGACAAATGTCCAGAATGAGTGTCTTTCGCTTTCATAAGCATATTTTATTCTTAGAAGTTTTGAAGTTTATTTTGACGATTTATTTATTTGTGTATACAAAAACTGGGGTACAGGACAGAGGTGCAGTGGGTGAGAGGATTCACCAGAGACAAAGTGGGGAACAGAACAGGCAGATTGACTGAAATACACTGCTGAGGGGAGCAGCAAGCAAAACAGGTCTCCTGGGTTAGCTCCCTGGCTGGGGATGGAGCTCATACCTCAATGGCTTCATAGTGCTGAGACTTGTGCCACCAGAGAGGCTCCTATATTCTACTCTAATCCTATAAGTATTTAGAGCATTAAGCCCTTCCTGTGAAGTGTTCTGAATTCAAAGATTGCAAGTATTAATAATAATAATATTTATTGTTTATATAGTTTTATTTTTTCATTTCAGATTCCCAAATGCTGGAAAATCTTCTTTGTTAAGTCAGATTTCTCATGCAAAACCTGAAGTTGCAGATTATGCATGTAAGTATAAGTTGTATATTTTAATGTGTAGAGGTAAATTTTAAAAGACAAATCTTTTTCTGAATATAGAAACTTTGAGAGTAACCTTAGTTTTAAAATCTTTTCACACAATACACCTACGTTTGCCAATTACCTTTGAAACCTCTGCAGTCTTCAGCATAATTCCTACTACTTTGTTGCCTTTAGTTATCTGTTGTATAATCATTTACTTGGTTTAGTTATGGTAGTATAAGCACCTTCCTTTATCAAGCAATGTGGTAAATACTAGGAAGGCAGAGATGAATTCCATCATTCATTTAACAAGTATTTAATTCTGCTAACCAAAATAGATTCGGGGATTAAAAGGACTAGTAAGCAGGAATGGATTCAATTCTGACTTTTATCAAACTTGCAGACTAGTGGGTAAAGGCACAATACCATAATGAATATAAGGAAATATATGGTTCTATTAAAATATAGAGATTATGTGATGCCAGGGTTAAGACAGGAAAAATAAATATGAGTTAATCAGTGACAGATAGTGGCGGTGAAAGGTCTTTCACAGAAAAAGAATTATTATACACAGGTTCTGTGGTGGCAGTGAGTAGATTTGTGTATCTGAGAACATGAGGACATCAAGATGAGACTGGAAATGTAGAAGCCATGTCATAGACAAAATAGGCTTTATTTGACTTTATATCTTGTTTTATCAAGTAAGATACCAATTTTTATTTTTTTATCATTTAAAAAATTTTATCTTGGGGGTTACATTTTTGTTCTTCCGTGTGTGTACATGTTGCACTCACCCTCCACCATGCCACTAGTTTAACACCCCCACTGCTATTCTTTAGCCTCTCTTCCTTCTCCCCTGATATCTTCTGGTGACCATTAAATTCTTAAACTAAGTTCAAGATTTTTCTATTTTAGAAGCAGTTGATATCTTTTTAAGCAAGGAATAGTGATTCAATATACTTTTCAAAAAGTTCTCTCTGCATATAAAAAAGAAAATGGATTGCTGTGGGACATGAATAGGCCTGGGAAGAAAAGATAGTCGACTATTGTAACTAGACTATAATAAATGATATGATAGAATATCTGTAGTCATTAAACAAGAAGACATCGAATGACATCAACCTCATAACTGTAAAATGAAGGCATTCTAAAATTCGATTTAATGAATTGGAGTTAATTTTGGACTGTTATAAATGTCATGGTTAATATCTCCTGTTATAGTATTAGGAGACTCTTGAGATAGGAATAAGAAGCTAGTAAAAAGTCCTAAGAAGATGAGGCAGAATTGGTGAGGCTTAACAAAACTGAATGAGAAAGTTTTAACAAATTTCACTACAGACCCAGTAATAGATAGCTAAATTCTTACCCCTGACATCTTTATCATGCTCTTTAAAATGCAATAGAGAAACTTCGAGATTCACTAATTAGACTGAGGCCTATAAAGATATAAAAATATGTCATTTTCCAAGTATACAATATTAAAACCAAAGACAGTTTTATCTTCGATTTCAATAAGTGAGAAAATCTAAATTAAATTGCTCACAGAAAAGAAATATTGTTTATTTTATACATAATGCTTAAACAAATTTGAGAGTTAATTATTCTAACCTTAATTTATTGTTGTGTGTTTTTTTTTCTCCTTCAGTTACAACATTAAAACCTGAACTTGGAAAGATTATGTATAATGACTTCAAACAGGTATTTTTAAAATGAGATGCTTGGTTAGAAGTGAAAGTACTTGTTTTTCGTATTTAAACTTTGTAATATTCAAATGTTTCTGCAGTGTTAGAAAGAAATAGCAAGATTTTATCTTACAAGTGAAAACATGATCAAATAAATTATGCTGAGTATTATTGTAGTGAAAAAATCTGTAATAAACTTCTAAAAAAATTATTTTATATTAGAGTAACTGGGTTATAGTACTGTAGATGATATAGCAGTATAGATTGGTTCACACCAAACCTATTGCCAGAGCATTAACAACCTTAGAACACTGGCTCCCTACACCCTTGGTTCCCTCCTCATCTTGAAACCTCTATTCCACAGTTAGATTTTTTTTTAAGATTTATTTATTTATGAGTACAGAACTGGGATACAGGCCAGAGGTGCAGGGGCAGTGAGAGGACTCACCAAAGACAGAGTGGGGAGCAGAACAGGCCAATTGACGAAGTATACTGCTGAGGAGAGCGGCAGGAGTGTCAGGAGAGGTCTGCCATGCCATGTGGATCACCTTCCTGGCTGGGAATCCAACTCATGCGGAAGTGGCTTTAGATTTGTAGTGTGGTGCTTTAACCCGCTGTGCCACCAAGGAGGGCTTCCACAGATTTCTAGGTTTGTTTTGGTGTCCCACTCCTCGTTTTCTCTGTAGTCCACATATGAGTAAAATCATCTGTTATTTGTCCTTCTGACTTATTTCACCTTCCATAACTAGCTTCAGGTCTCTCCATATTGTTGAAAATGCCAAGATTTCATCTCTCTCTTTTTTTTTAATGGTTGAACAATATTCTAATATATACCACACCTTTTTTATATATATAAAGATTTATTTATTTGTGCATACAGAACTAGGGTATAGGCCAGAGGTGCAGGGGCAGTGAGAGGATTCACCAGAGACAGAGTGGGGAGCAGAGCAGGCAGACTGAGGAAGTACACCTGACAGGAGCAGCAGGCGGGTCAGGAGAGGTCTGCTGCACCTCTGGGGCAGGCAGGGATTGAACTCATGTGAAGTGACTTTAGCTTCTTGGTGCTGTGCTTTAACCTGCTGCGCCAGCAGGGAGGGCCCTATACCACTTCTTTTAATCTACTCTTGCTTTTGGACAGTTAGGTATGGCCATAATTTTGCTATTTTAAATAGTGCTGCAGTGAATATAGGAGTGCATGTATTCCTTTGAATTAAAATTTTTGCATTGTTTGTATAGGTACCTAGGACTAGAATTGATGGTTCATATGGTAAATCTATTTCTAATATTTTGAGAAGTCTTACTACTTTCCCATAGGAGCTGAACCAGTCTATATTCCCACCAATGGTGTATGAGGTTTCCTTTTTCTCCACACTCTCACCAGCACTTGTTGTTTTTCATAGTTTCATTATGGACCATTCTCACAGGAGTGCTATATCATTTTAGTTTTGATTTGCATTTCTTTGATCATAAGTAATGAGTATTTTCCATATGCCTGTTGGCTATCAGTATGCTATCTTTGGAGAACAGTTTTCTTTTGTTGAGTTGTGTGAGTTCTTGTAGGTCTTAGTTATTAGCCCCTTGTGGGATGTATGATGCACAAAAACTTTCTCCCATTTAGTACAGTGTATTTTCATTTTAATGATAGTTCTTTTACTGTGTAAAGCTTTTTAATTTGATGTAGTCCCATTTGTTAAAATTGCATTTATTTCCCTTGCCACTGCAGTCATGTCTCCAAAAAAGCCAATGTTTCAGAGTTATTTACCTATGTTTCTTTTTCTATGTATTTTAATGATTGGAGTTCTTACATCCTACTGTTTGATCCATTTTAGTTTAATTTTGTGTATGCTATGAGGTAGTGGTTTCATTTCATTCTTTTGCACATACTAGTTCTTTTCTCAGTACCATTTATTGAAGAGTCTTTCCTCCATTGTATATTCCCCACTCCTTTGTCATAAAAAACTTTGCTGATAAGTGGAATCACTTCAGGGCCTCTCAGTTTTATCCCAGTGGGCTGTGTGTCTATTTCTATTCTGTTACCATACTGTTTTGATTAGCATTGTTTTGTTGTATACATTGAAATCTGGGTGTATATACTAGTGGCCTTTTTTTCTCAGGATTGCATTGGTTGAGGATGTTCTTCTAGATTAGATCTGGTTTATAACCACAGCTTTTATGTTCTTTATATACTTAATTTTTGTTTGCTTTCATTGCATGTCCATCTTAAATTATAGGACCGATTTTTAAATGTCTACTCTACGAAAATCCTTGTAAACTTTTAAGAATTCAGACTTTAAAGTTGCAAGTTGGTAAAAGCTCATTGAAAATGTAATATATAGGATTCCAAAGAGAATTTATGTAATTAGTGAATGTTAAACTAATCCCCCAAATTACTAAACTGTTGTATTAAAAATGAAATTCATTTTTATGAACAAAGATTTTGATTCTTAATACGTTGATTTTGCTGTAAATGTATATTGGCTTTACAAAGAAACTATGGTAATCGCAAATTAGGAATTGTTTATATTTGAAATATGAAAATTAGGTAATATGATCATAGTTGTGGTTCTCATATATTCTTTTATCAAATCTTTTACTTTGTTTTAGATATCAGTGGCTGATCTTTTTTTACTTTGTTTTAGATATCAGTGGCTGATCTTCCTGGTTTAATAGAAGGAGCACATATGAACAAAGGAATGGGCCACAAATTCCTAAAGCATATAGAAAGAACCAAACAACTACTTTTTGTTGTAAGTCATATATCTACCAATGTGATGTTCAAATGAGTATGAAAATCAACTAATTCGTTTTTCCTATATATCTTTTTTATAGTAATAAGATTTAAATGTAAAGTAAGAGCATATTTAGTCCACTAAGTCTGTTTAGATGGGGAGTCAAATACAGTAAATAATCTTAATTTGTAATAAAAAGCAAGAAGTGGAATTTTTAATTATATCAGATATAATTTTGTATGTCAAGGTTTAATTCCTTATGGTTTTTGATATATTTGGTATCTCTTTTCTTTGGCACTCTAGTTATGTGTGCGATTGTTTGTATCAGTGTAAATTGTTTATACTGTTTTTTCATTTTAGTAATGATTGACATTTTATCAGAAAAATTGTCCCACTTCAATTTCTCTGATTTTACATTTTTAAATTATTGATATATATTAAGAAATTGCTTTAGCTTGAGAGAATTAAGACATTTCAAAAACACAGAAATGTATAGCTGTTTCTTATGTTAAAGACTCTTTCCTTTTTTTTAGGTCGATATTTCTGGTTTTCAGCTTTCTTCCAAAACTGAATACAGAACTGCCTTTGAAACTATAATACTGCTTGCAAAAGTAGGTCTTGTGTTTCAGTGTATGATGCATCTAATCTAGTATGTAGGCAAGTAGAACTATATGAATTAACATATAATAATTAAATATATACTTAATCTCCTTTATCTGTTTATTTAAAGATTTATTTATTTATGCATACAGAATTAGGGCACAGGCCAGAGGTGCAGAAGGTGAGATTCACCAGAGACAGATTGGGGAGCAGAACAGGCAGATGGACTGAAATATATTGCTGAGGAGAACAGTGGGCAGGTCAGGAGAGGTCTGCCTTGCCATGTGGGTCACCTCCCTGGCTGGGAATCAAACTTGTGCTGCAGTGGCTATGATAGTGGCTTCATAGTTCTGTGCTTTAACTAGTTGTTCCTCAAATTATTATAATCAGTAAAGCTCTACTATCCCTTCTCAGACTTTATATTGCTTGAACTTTGAGCATTGGTTATTTCTTGAAATATTGTCTACTCTTAACTTCATAAGCTGGTTTTACCTCTCTGTTTTTCTACCTACTTCTTACACTCTTTTCTCCTCACCCCTTAAGTAGCTTTCAGATATTGTTCACATACTATTGACAAATCATTATCTGATAACCAAATTTTTTTTTTGTGCTTTAGACCAGCTTCCTATTGGGCGTCTTTAATTGGATCTGTGCCCTCAAACTTAACATACATAAAACTGAGCTCATTTAAAAAAAAAAAAATTCTCTAGCCTTTCTCAGAACTTTATTGAGTATGCAAATTAGAAATCTGGGTGGCAGCCTTTCCTTTTCTAACCAGTTCAAGCCCAGGTGGTTTTATATACTAAATCCTTCTGAAATCCATCTACTTGTCTTCATTTCTCACTGCTATAATTGTTATAGTTGTTAAGTCCCTTCTGTCTGCTTTCCCTATCCAATCTGTCTTCTCTAATGTGTATTTTTTTAAAAAGATTTATTTATTTGTGCATACAGAACTGGGGTACAGGCTCCAGAGGTGCAGGGACAGTGAGAGGATTGACCAGAGACAGAGTAGGGAGCAGAACAGGGAAATAGACGAAGTACACTGCTGAGGGAAGCAGCGGGCACATCAGGAGAGGTCTGCCACGCCATGTGGATCACCTCTGGGGCAGGTGGCGATCAAACTCGTGAAGTGGCTTTAGCTTCTTAGTGCTTTGTTTCAACCCGCTGCACCACCAGGGAGAGCCCTCTAGTGTGTTTTTATGTGGCAGCTAGCATGACCTTTATAAAAGAGCAAAGCTGATCATTGTTCCTTGCCTAAAACACTTTGATGGTCCCCATTGCTATTTGGTTAAAGTCTAATGTGAACATTGTTTATATAATCTGGCAAGGTTCATCCCTGCCTGGCAAGTCTGTCTCTGCCCTAAATTCTATTATTCAGCCATATGTTTGCTGTCTAATACATTTCTAAGCAACTGAGAGGTTGCTTACCTCTAGGATTTTGAATATCCTGTTTTCATTGACTTTTTTCCCATTAGAATAATAATGCTGGGAGCATTTATATACAGGTTTTATATGAACATCTTTTCATTTGTCATGGGTACATATAATTCCTAGGAGTGGATTGATAGGTAATATATTAACCATGCTTTTGACATTTTGAAGAATTGCCATATTATTTTTCACTGTGGCTGTATCATTACACCATTTTACAGCCCCAGTATTATGAGGATTCCACATCATTGTTATCATTTATTATTATCTATTTTAATTTTTGCCATCCTGGCAGCGATAATGTGGCATTTTATTGTGGTTTGGCAGTGATAATGTGGCATTTTATTATGGTTTTGATTTGCTTTGTCTAGTGACTAATGACAGCCATACAAATGGCTGTATGTATGTCTTTGTATGTCTTTGGAGAGATGGCTAGTCATATTCTTTGCCCATATTTTAGTTGGAATGTTTGTTCTTTTTGTTGAATTATAAGAGTTCCTAATATTATGTTCCTAATATTATGTATACAAGCCCTTTATTAGTTACATTATTTGCAAAATATTTTCTCCCATTCTGAGTTGTCGTCTCACTTTCTTTATGATACTCTTTGAAACACACACTTTTAAATTTTGATGAAATACCTTTATTTTTTGTTTGCTTATAGTTTTGGTACTTCATCGAAGGAACTATTGCCTAATCTATGGTCACAAAGATTTACTCCTAAGCACATGTACTATCTCCAAGAAGAATATAGGTATAACATCAGATTGTTATTATTCACTCCTGCATTCATTAATTTGCTTAATAGAAGTCCACATATGACTGTAGGTACAAAGTCATAACTATATCAAGATGTCATGTGAACTAAAATATTAACACATGAACTAACTAGGAAGCATTTTCTGAATTTCCTTTGTTAATTAGTTTTGTGATTGTTGGGATTTATTGTATTAGAGATGTGAGTGGACTGTAGATTACTGTGGTCTATAAAGTAAAAAAACACATTACCAAGTAGGTAGATTATATAAATATTTTAATACAATTACTTTTTTTCCTCTTTTTTATTTAAAGGAGTTAGAGTTGTACAAAGAGGGCCTTCAGACAAAACCTGCACTTCTAGCAGTTAATAAAATGGACTTGCCAAATGCCCAAGATAAATTCCATATACTGATGAACCAACTCCAGAATCCTAAAGGTAAACGATTTACTGAAAACTTGTTATGTACCAAGAGTTTTAAGTATAGTAATCAGTGGAAAGAAAACTGATAGTTGCTACTCTTTAAAAATATGTATATTTGAAGAAAGAACACATATCATTTAAATAATATTATAATAATTCCAAGGTTTCAAATAAATGACGTGAATAGTAAGAGACAAAAGAAAAGAAAGATTAAAGAAAGTTAGTCTTCATGTAAAAGTAAAATTTAAAGTGGATGTAAGAATTAATGGGATTTGAGTCAGAATTTAAAAAAAAAAGCATCTACCTGTAAAGTCTTTCACTTAAATGCATATCACAAGTTCTAGAACTTCATCCCCTAGTACAACAAAAATTTGAAAACAGAATTAATAGTTCCAATAGGTATCTTATCTTTGCAGTGTCCTCTTTATTGATCTCCGAAATAGACAGATCTTCTAAAACCTAAAAACAATTGAGGTGTTTATATGTATGTCACAATGAATGATAGATTCTGTTACTCCTAAGAGATTTATTTGCTTGAAATTTGTTAAAAAATGAACCACTTTTTGTAAAAGAACTTAAAGGAACCCTCCCCAGTTTTGGAAATTACATTCGCAGAACACTATTCTACAGTGCTGATGTTTTCATTTTGCTGAGGTTAGTAAATGACTTATTAAAATGAGGAAAAGTAGGAAGTAAATGCCAAAAGGGTTTAAATGGTACTTTCTCCATTTTAAATAATAATTTCTCTGTTTTTATCCTTGCAATAAAATTAAGGAAAATAAATTATAGTGTACTAGGACCAGTGGATGACACCAGAAGATCCTTTCTTTCCTCTCAAAAATCCTTCCCCTATGTAGTTTACATATTGGGGCTATCCTTGAGATAAAAATTTTTACATTGAGACATAAATGCTCCTGGAAAATAGTTAGATTCCTTAAAGTCATTGGATCTACTTGCTTGTCGGATATGCAGAAAAGGACATTTTCAGTTGAGGTAGCAGAAGGGAGTTTAACTTAGAAGTTTGTAGCTATTCTGGATTGTCATCAAACAAAATATAATGCCCAAATTGATCATTCCGATTAGCCTCTGGATTTTCTTAGGAGCATATGAATCTCAGAATTAAGCTCCATGTTGGCTTATCTAATCTCTTTCATCTTTTATTTATATTTAATTTGGTTTTAAGTATAGTAATTTAACAAGTATTCAGCAGTCAAACAAGAAGGAAACAGAAAAATAGAATGATTTCACTTATAGGAGGAGTATAGGGGAACCAAATCAGGGATCAGGAAAAAGTAATAATAATAAAACAGCATAACTAGTAAGCAACCATAAATAAGAGATATTCTGCGAGGGTGGGGAAGGAAAGGGGTCAAAACGGGGGAGAAGAGCACAAGGGACTATAGTGATCATTTACAGATAAACTGGTGGTGGGGACTTTACAGGAAATAATACAATGAAGTACAAGACATACATAAAAATTGTAAACAAAGAAATTTACTAAATATTTACTAAGCATCTGTCTGGTGCTAAGAACCTTCCCATTATCATTAGCAAAAGGCTTGAGAATTTATCAGAGAAATGGAAAAAGGAATTAAAAATCCCAAGTTTCCTTGTAGTTTTGACTTATTTTCAAAAACATGAAAACTTAAGTTTTGTATTCTTTGTTTCAGACTTTTTACATTTATTTGAAAAAAATATGATTCCAGAAAGGACCATGGAATTCCAACACATCATCCCTATCTCTGCAATTACTGGAGAAGGAATTGACAAATTAAAGGACAGTATAAGACAATCTCTAGATGAACAAGCTGATCAGGAAAATGATGCATACCATCAGAAACAGTTGCTTAATTTACAGACTTCCAAAACAATATCTTACAGTGAGCCAAAAAATGTTGCTCAAAAAAATGTTGCTACTAGTCCCAGAATGGATATAATTTAAATATATTAAAAATTATTTTGAAATTGTGTTCATTTAAAAGTTTTTCCACAGATATATTTTTTTGAAGGTTAGTTCCTGTTGAACTTCTGATACACATGCCATCATGCAAGAACTGTACTTTTTAAAGTTGTTCTGTATTTAAGTGTATCAACAGTAAATTTGATATATAAACTAATATAAAAATTAGTTTATAATTTCATGACCAATCCACCTATAATAAATATCCTCCAAAATACTTGTACTAAGACATGTCCAGTGAGATAATTTTTTTAATTATATAAAAGAACTCCCTACATTGTTGGAATGAATAACTACCTTTTGTTGCCTATGGGTTAAGTCTCATGCTATCACCTACATGGCCCTGCTCCCCTTAGCAGTGTATTTCAGTAAATTGTCTGTTCTGCTCCCCATTCTGTCTCTGGTATATTCTCTCACTCCCTGAACTTCTGACCTACTTCCCAGGTCTTCTATGCAAAAATAAAAATTAAAAGAACACATAATAGGTACTCAGAAATTTGTTTATTCACGGATGAAATCTTCAGAGCATAGAGCCAAATTCATAGTGCAACATATTTTAATATAATTAAGTGTCTGGTGGTATAAGCTTGTAATTCATGATGGTCTAAGTAAATCTGATATAAGAAGCTCTGGCACTTTGTAAAAAGTTGTTTTTAAGTCAAATGGTAAGTTTAAAATATAATCAAAGATGATTATCTTTGTCTACATGAATTTATAATTTAGGAGTTAAGAAAAATGAATATTGTTGACAGAAACATAATTTTTACTTCAAAATTAGTTGAAAAGTAAACACCTATATTTTAGAAGATTTCAGAGAAGCATTTTGTTTTGTTTTCTGATTAGAGCTTAACAAGTAAAAAGTATTACTGGATCTTTTAGCTTCAAGTGGGTATCAGAAGCCAATTGAAAGAAAAACAAAAACAAATAATAGAAATGAGAAAAGCAAAAAGAAATGTCTATTGGGAAGTTGTAGTAGTTTCCTGTAGATAACTTCAGGAGTAACATGTTCGGTTATTGCTTCCCTTTTGCTTCCCTTGGCTATCATAAGAACGAAAGAGCTCAAGACAATTGAAACCACCATTTCTAGCTATAATCAACTACTCACTTTAGACAGTTACAATTTTTAAAATATTTTAAAATCCCTTTATATGACAGTTGCGTAATTCATAGTTGCTAGGTATTTGGAAGAATGCAAAGGAAGTAGTCACCTATATATTATTAATGTCTTCATGATAGAATTAAGTCTTTTGGGATGCCCAGATACTGAGCTACATGAAGCTAAGCTATTATCTGAATCATGTACTTTGAAATACTTAGAATTAAAAAAACAAGATACGTAGTTTATATTCTAATTTTGGAGCAATATATGGCAAGGTAGTTCTTTTTCTGTTTGTAAGCTCTGAGTGCTTTGAAAGTTGAAAGCAAAGGATAAAAGCTTCCTTTGGTCATTGCACATACTTCAGTATATTTTTCTGAACAGCCAAATATCTTCTGACTTCCTTTTCTTATTGGTTGTCAAGTATTATTTTGGGCATTATTTCTATATAAAGGTTTTTAGAAGACCGTGGTATTATTTTCTTATATTAAAAGAAAGGACATGATTATAAAGCTAAAATATACCTTCAGTTTTATTTGTATATGGTTTGCTACAAATTGAGAGAGACTGAAAATACTTTAGACCAGGAGCAGATAGTAAAATCGCATTGCTTTGGATGGATTTGAAACATTACTAGATGACAGTAAATAAAAAATCCTGGCCAACTGAATCCTAATGGAAGGAAATAAGAGCACTGTATAATAATTGAACCCCAATTTTAAAAACAAATCTTTCCTTCAACTAGCACTACATTGAAATCAAGAGAAATTGCAAGAACAATATAATGAACACACATAGTTTTTCCTGTAAACGTATAAACCAGAAAAACTCATCTGCTTCAAAGAATAATTGATGTAACACAAAATGGTAATTAGAAATTTAACATACAGTTTCTCTTTAAAAATTGGATGGGAAATAGTGATGGGAGAGGAAAGGGTAATAGTCAACATGAAAGAAAAAAAACTGAAAGCAATTATAGGAAAAAGACTTCAGTTATCCTATTTTATGCTAATTCCTTTGTACAGCCCTCTTTCCCTCCCTCACCTGTACAGTAATAACTTTCTTAAAGATTAGAAACATGCATAGTCATTTCTTAACAATTTTTTTAAAGATTTATTTATTTGTGCATACAGAATTGGGGTACAGGCCTGAGGCTCAGGGGCGGTGAGAGACTTCACCAGAGACAGAGTGGGGAGCAGAACAGGCAGATGGACAAAGTACACTGCTGAGGAGAGCAGCGGGCTGGTCAGGAGAGGTCTGCCACACCATGTGTCACCTCCAGGGCTGCCCAGAGACAGAACTTGATCAAAAACCTAGATATTGGATTGTCTTCCCTTTTTTTTTGGAGCTGTTATTTTTTTTTAAATTATAATAAACTATATCTCCCATCTAAAGTCTGCTAACTAATCAATGTTTGGCAAGTAAATTATGAAATGATTTTGTACATAGTATTGATTCAATTCAGTTATTTTAGAAGAGAACTGAATGAAATTCAGAGCTGCTAACTAAAGTTATCCTGAGTCCCATTGCTATCATCCACCTGTTACTCCCAGAAATAGCCTACAACCCAGAGCCTATCTGCCCAGATATCCTTTTCCACTTAATGCCCTCCTCATTATTACATTTCTAGGTCAGACTTTAGGATCATGTATTTTCTGGCCTTATTAACCTTAAAACCTCTGAAGCATGGCAAGTGAGAAGGTGGCAATAGTGGACAGAGATTAGCTTTCCTCCTTTTTATTATCACTAACAACTGTTCTCATTGTTAAATGGAACATAACAAAATGAGAACAGTGTGGTCCTAACTTGTGTCTGATACTGTTGTAAATACCACTATATTTACATATATACAAGTATATGTAAATATATATAAATGCTCACAATGATTCTTTTAATGTAGAAAATTATTATACATAAAATACTGATATACAATAGGTTATTTAACTTACCTAAGATACAGGGACAGAACGGAATAGGAATGGATGCCATTATTTACTTTTGTTTAAAACTATGGTGCTTTTCTCAAATTATATTTTGCAAAATTCAAAGGTACAGAAAATTTGAATAGTACAGTGAACACCAATATAATTTTATTACTAGACTCAATTATTAACATTTACCACAATTACTTTATTGCTGTCTCACTTGAAGTTGGCCTCTTGCCACTTGAACATCCTTTAATTAAAAATAGATCACATTTCTGAATCTTTTATGTCCGATTTTCAGTAATCCAGTATGCCAAGATTCTAGAGGCTAACAAAGAGGGGGCGGGACAATTGAAACTGTGAGGAAGAATGAATTAAAGTTAGTTCCAATAATTAACAGCTGGCTATATGCTTTATTTGACACTTAAGCTATATTAATTACCAAAGTCAGTGATCTAGGTAATCTTATCTTCACTTTACAGATAACCTCAGAGAGATAACTTGCTCACGGACATCAACTATTATTTAACAGACCTTCACTTAAACCTAGGCAGTCTCCTTGTAGAGTTTGAACTCTTCTGTTTGGGTCCCCATAAATACTTTGAGGGGAGGAAGGGTTTTAAGGATTTGTATTAACCTTCTTATAAGTAAATCACTCTTGATAGGAAATATTTACTTGGGTCCCTCAACTTAAAACTATTTGTAGTTAGTTTTTTTAACTTTAAAAAAAAATATATATATATATATATATATATATATATGTTCCCAAGACTGGACGGGAACAGAAGGTGCAGGGTTAATAGGGTCCTAGAGCCCTCGAGAGGCGGGAAGATAAAGGCGGGAGGTGGTTGCAGGATGTTGCCTGCGGCTGCAGACCCCGTGGATTCTGGGAAATGTAGTCTTCCAGCCACCCAGGGCATTCCCGTTTAGGACCTCTGGGGAACCTGACTGCGCTCCCAGAAGCCTCCGGTGCAACTCGCAGGGAACGCACTTCCTGGGACGCTGAGAAGGAGACGGCCAGAGCAGCTGCTCTGTGTGAACGAGTAACATGCCTCGGATGTGAGGAACAGGTAGGTGTCGACAAGATTTCTGGGGCTTGTGAATGAGTAACTGAGGATTTTGTGTAAAATACCTACACCCTGGGAAGTCGGGAACATGGACAAATGCTGGCCACATCTGTGGGCGTGAAAATTGAATAAGGAGCTATTTGATAAAGCTTTTAAAGATTGATTTCTTAATCTTTAGGGAAATGTCGAGAGGTCTTGCTGGAGCGGCCAGGGTCTGGGGGCTTGGCCGGCGGGGTGTACATTGTGGAGCTGCAAGTTGCTATTTTTGAATCACCCAGCTGATGATGCTGGTTGTGTAATGATGACCTGCTTGCGGTTCAAACCACTCAGTGTTGCAGGGATGATGGCTCGTTCTGAGAGCGGTTACCGTCCTTGCTGCGGTCTCTTTCCATTGGCTCCGACCTCGAAAGTTTTTCTCCCTTGGCTTTCTGCCAGCTCTGTTGCTCCTTAGGACCCTGCTCAGAAGTGAAGGCGGCGACCGGAGGGGAGTGTGGGTTGCTCTAGAAGCTTGTTTCTTTTCCTCTGAAGCCCTTGTTTAGTACTACAGGCCTGGGAAGGGGCCCCTCCCTTAAAGAAAGGCCAGACTCGGTGACCCTGCTTAAAACGATTGCTTTGAGATCCTATTGTCTGTTTTTAATTGTAAAACGATTTTCTTTGACTTTGGAGTGAGTAATTGTGCTTGATACCAACTCAAGAAACATTTTGGGGGCGGGGCTTGACTTAAATCTCTTCCTGGGGGACTGTTGTGGAACTTCTACATAATGACCATAATAGGGCTAGTGATAAACGCCTTAATCCAGGAAACTCTCAGATGTTTACAAGTTTTCATTTTCCTCCTGTCTATTTGAGATAAATAGCATTTGAAGAGGAAATTACTGATGCTTAGAAAAAGATACATGGAAACACTTAAATAGCAGGTTGAGCCATTAGTGGAGGTACAAATTAAAAACAATTCTAGATGCAAATTTTAGTATGCACGTTTGGTATATCAGCTTGGCCTAGTTATGCCAGTATCCTCTTAAAAGGTATAAAAGAAGCTTTACAATTTTTTTTTTACTTCCAAGACACCTAATTGCATATTTGCTACAGTCAAGAAAATTAGATATTGATCATTTATTCCAAAACACAAAGTGATTTTGTCCTTACCCCTACAGCTTTTCAAACCACAAAATGAGTGAACTTTATTTCGTACATATTGGCAATCTGAATTTAAGAATGAACTGCTTTTTTGTTTTACTGCCATCTTTTCTGTATATTTCATTGGTGTTAGCTAATTGCTAATAATCTTGTCAAATTCCAAGTAAATTAAAATTGAGTTTTAGAAAAGTACTATAGTAATTTGGGGACATTTTTCCTATTTCTTTAGACCAAGAACATCTCTCCTCTGTGTTCAAATATGCATACATTCTTCTGAATTGATAATAGTTGTCTTAGAACTACCAAGAACCTCAAAGAGTAAGTATGTATTTTGATTATGTCTTATTTCCCTTTTCTACCATGTATCAGATGATATGTTTTTCTCTTTTTCAACAAAGTTGTTATAGGACACTTTCTTTGTAAATGCAATGATTGATAATCTATAGATTCTGAGAAAACCCAAGTTATGGGCAGAAGGGTCTGTCAGTATTACCATCAAGAATTAATGCAGCTGCTACTATTACAAATGTATTTTCAGAATTGTCCCTGAAAAAAACATATAGTAGTGGAGTGTGTGAGTTCCTAAAACTTAGTCACTATTTTTACACTCTATTTAAAACCAGCATTTTAAATCAGTGTTACCTCTGTTAAACACACACACATATACAAAACATACACAGAAAAAAGAATCTTTTTGAATATACTTCTATTCATAATTGTATTTCTGGTAACATGTGGGTGTGTACCAAATTTTATCCATCTACTTCTCTGAAAGTCACTGTGGAAAGAGATAGTCAAATAACAAATGCAAAGTGCTTGTTTTGAAAGAGTTCTTATTTGACTTGGTCAGCTACTACTCCAAAGAGAATGCTCTGTCATTATCTTATCATCTGTGATTGCTTAGATATCTAGAAGGAGAGCATGCTCCTAGCTGAAGAAAGTAAATAGCCTAATAATAATTTTAATTTCTGACCTATCTGTTTTACAAAGGGCTTTGCTACTCATCATGTCATGAGTACTTTGGGAGGCATTTTTATGGACAAGAAATTTGAGATGGAGAGGACATGGGTGATTTGTCTAGCTTATCAATGGTAGGCTAAGCTTGGCATCTGGGTTTTCCGTGTCATACTACCTCTGAAAGGGAAACAAGCCCATACATCTATATGTAAGACCCAGCTCAAGGCTGTCATGCAACTAGTGTTCATGAGTATTTCTCAGATTTGTAGAAGTGTTTTTCAGCTTTGCACATTTTCTGTAATCCCTAATAAAAGGTTTCCATATAGAAAAAGATTATTATTTTCTCCATTGTTATTTCTAAAAGAAAAATACAAATATAATTTGTATTTTGGCTTTGTAAGCAAAAATTAATGTGCTGTATTAGCCATGCTTAGTGAAGGAGGGTATATTCAACATGTCATGTACCTAATAAATTGAAAACACAAGAATCAGTCATCATAATTGATTGACTTCGTAACACTGGAAGTTAGCCAGTGATGCCAAACCTAGATATGTATTTGTAGAAGCAGGATTTGTGGGTAAATACCTGAAACTGGCCCTATCTTTTTTGAGAAACTTCTGGAGGAGGAAAAAGAACATTGTTTTTATAAATGGGAAAAACTTTGGCCAGTAAAGAATAGCAGATAGGAGCATGGTCTAGAAAGTATTTGGAAGTTTGTGAACATGGGATATGAATGAGTGAAAAAAAAAAAAAATCAAACTGATAACTTGCTGTATCCTTACTATGCTCATGTGGTCCTTCTATTTGTTTGTTCATTCATTTAACAAATAGTTGTATGCCTTCTGTGTGCCAGTGTTGGACACAATGGGGGAAAAAAAAAACAGAAGGCTCTCTGTCCTCATGGAACTCAGAGTCTGGTGAGAAAGATAAACACCGGACAAGGAATTATAAACATAATCTTTGCTACGAAAGAAAAAGTACAAAGATACTAATAGAGCATAAATCAGGGACAGATGGATACTAAGGGTGGGGGAGGAAAAGGGAAGTTTAGAACCAGCCCATACCTTCCTGAAACTAGGAAGATGAATATATGAATATGTGTTAGCTGAACAAAGAAAAGATGGGGTTAAAAATATTGTAAGAGGAAGAATGACAGGAGGAAAGACCCATAGCCAGAATGAATTTAGAAAATTTGAGAAGTTCAAGAAAAGCAGCATGACTACATAGACTACAGTATGTGGGTAAAAGAGTGACATAAGAAGTTTGAAAATTTGGCAGAAACCAGATGGAGGGATTTGGAAACAGTAAAAAAGATTTTAAATTTTATTCAGAGGAGAATAGGAAGCCATTGAATAGAAGTAAAATGATCAGGTTTGCATTGAAAAAAATTACTCTGGATTCAAATTAATTGGCATAGAGTATAAGTAGAGGTCTTTTACCCTCTCTGGATGAACAGATTGTAACTTGAGAGTCAGCATTCTCTTTCAGCTTAAATCATTAAACATAGTCTCTCTCCCAATTGTCCCTATAAACTGTTCCTCTAGTGAGATACGTGGCTTATTATTAAACTTTACATATCTAGAGTTAAGAACAGGGCATAGAAAGTAAAAGCCAAAGAAAGTTGTGAAGAGCTAGCACATTATTTCCAGCATTAAGGTTGAAATATAAGTGTTGAGGTTAATTACTGTTTCCTTTCTAAAAAATGCCAGTATATCCTTGTTGAGTCTATAAACAGGACTTCTAGTCAGCCCCTGGGCTTTTCTGCTTAAGTATAGTAAGCAAGTTCAATAGTATAAGTATAATAAGCAAGTTCAAATCAAAGAACACTTGCTTGACTTGAAGGATACATTTGAACACACTGATACTGAAATGAATATTAAAGTACTTCTGTTCATTAGTGTTCTTTGATAGACTATCATCTAAGAGCTGTTGGACTTTATTAATAGTAAAGTTTTCATCCTGATCTTGCTTCTCATTCCATTTACTATGTGGGAGTCAGTGCTACAGGGCAGCTTGACTGTAGAAGTACCAATTACATTGATAAACTCCAAGTATTTAGTTCCTACCTCTGAAAGCAAGAAGAAATTTTCCTTGGGTTAGGATTCTAAGTAGGTTAGCTGAATGAGTTCTGAAGCTTTGACTATAACAAGAACCGTTTTCTTTTGTCTTCCATCTTGGATCAAGTCGTCAATTTCATTGTTCAGCCTTTTTTGAATCCTGTATTGCTATAATTCTATCAGGTACCTCACTAGTTAATTTTGCTTAATCTATAATAATAATCACTTTATATAATAATAATCACTTGATATTTGGTAGTTATGTAACTGATTCATTATCAGCATATTGAGTTTGCATGGAGGAACAGATTCTTTTCCTCAGTCTATTAACACACTGGGGCAAGATCCAGCCCCTCCAAGTGTCCCTCTAGGCTTAATGGTTTTGCATGTACTAGATATACTCAGTAACTAAAAGTTGAATGATTGCTTAGAAATACCTGCTTCCTTCTCCAGCTCCACTTTATCAGTAGTCTATCTTTCTAAGTTACTGTGGTCTGTAAGTAGGACCCAGTACACATTTATTCAAATATTCCTAGGATGATGTGTATGCCAGGACTATGCAAGTTATTTAGAGTATATTGGGAAGACAGGGGAAAGAGCAAAATCCAACAGGAAGTTGAATTCTGAGCTTCTCATTAATAGCTTTCTCAATGTAAATAGTCTGAAAACTGCACTATAACCCCATTGTTGGACCAAGGTGGTTGTTCCCTAAAATTAAGCATGTTGATCATTTCCTTCCCCCACCCCCCAAGTTTGCACAATAAAATAAATTTGGGCTATAATTTCTTAAAGAGTTTTTATCTGTCACATAAGAGTTTTTAAGCACAGAGTTTTGTTTAAACTCTTGATTTTATATTCTATATGTGCGTATATGTATATATCTATATATATAAATATGTAGGTATGTACACATGCCTGTGTATTTTCTGCTAGTAAAATTCTTCTTAGCTTCTTGATTGGATTAAATATATTGTTTTCTAAAGAGCATTGTGTCTTTTCATTCAAACACATTTGAGAATAATGTCCAAACTCAGCTTGCTAGTTTTTTGATCTTGCAGAGTTCCTGGGGATCCTACTTTATCAATTCAGCAGATAATATTTGACTCTACAAAGGATGATGAATACTTTAAATAGATACCTGAAGTAAAAATATTCCCAACCATGCACCTTTGTCATGATCAGACTCAAAAGAAGTAAACAGGTTAACTCATTAAAGAAGTCTATTGCCTCATAAGGTGTCTTTGTAGAAGGCAGGGAAAATAACTGAGTAGTGTTTGGAGAATAAGTTTTAAACCTTGAAGAAATTAAAAGTAAATAAGACTCTAGTTTTCATAGTTTGTCATGTACAGAAAAAGAATAGTCTTTTCAGTTGGGATGAAAGAACAATCTGGCTATGTTTTTCCTTCCCTTAAAACATGATACACATTGATAAAGATAGGTTATCATTCGTCTTATATTAGCATTAGTAAGATAATAACCTAAGAAGCAGTCCCTTCATCTTAAATCAGCCAGGAAGTAGTGAACAGATAATTTCAGGAATGTTTGTTGTCTTTTTATTCTTCAGAGAGGTATCCACTTACATTTAGTAATTTTCCAGAGTACCTACTATAGGGATGAGATTGGGCTACTTTTACTTTTCTTCAAGATTAATTCAGTGTGTTCTGAGCAGCAGTTTGCCAAGCATGCCATGCCCTGCATTGTTTACACTTGCATTACACTTAAACTGTGCTAGGCATTTAAGTTATATTAATTACATTAATTTAACTAATAAGTTAATATAATTGATAATACTTCGAACAACCATTGAGATTGGCATTTCATTTTGCAATGAAAAAACATAAGACACAGAAGTTCTGTAGCTGACCCAAAGTCACTTGGCTAGTAAGTGAAAGTGGGCATTAGAACCCTGCCCTCAGCAGCTCACCGACCTGTAGTGCCTTTTTTTCTGCACCTTTGTTTTTACGAGCCATCTTCCCCTCTGTTGTGCGCTAGTCTCATGTTAAGTTTGCTGAGCCTTTGTGTTTGTGTTGTTTGTGCTTGGTGGTTGCTGACCCTTGTTATGTGAGTGGCTGCTACATGAAAGTGCTTGATAATGTGTGCTGAATAAATAATGGACAACTGAGGGCATTTTCAGAGGTGATGTTAGAGAATTTGAAAATTTTTTTGGTTGTTCTGATTTACAGTAAGGAAAAATATGCTTGACTAAATACGCTTAGTTGCTCTGTGACCCTGTCAGTGGTATTGAGGGTATGCGTGTGTGCCTGTGCCCTGAGGTCACATGTGGAAGCATTTATGTACATTCCTCTTGTACATAGACATAATAAGTAGGAGCGGAATTTCCCTATTTGTATTGATATTTCATCAGTAGTAGTATTGTCAAGCGGCACCACACTTTCTGCTCTACTTTCCTCTTGTCCCCTCATGATTTGTCCTCTTGTATGTCACTTCTAGTCCCACTGACGGTACTGCACCAGCCTGCCTGCCATGGGCTGTCGGGATGTCCATGCAGCCACTGTCCTCTCCTTCCTGTGTGGAATTGCCTCAGTGGCAGGCCTCTTTGCAGGAACTCTGCTTCCCAACTGGAGAAAATTACGACTGATCACTTTCAACAAAAATGAGAAGAACCTGACTGTTTACACTGGCCTGTGGGTGAAGTGTGCACGATATGATGGAAGCAGTGACTGCCTGATGTACGACACTACCTGGTACTCATCAGTTGACCAGCTAGATCTGCGGGTCCTCCAGTTTGCACTGCCTCTCAGCATCCTAATTGCACTGGGTGCTTTGCTGCTCTGCCTGATTGGAATGTGTAACACGGCCTTCAGGTCCTCTGTACCCAACATCAAACTGGCCAAGTGTCTGGTCAATAGTGCAGGCTGCCACCTAGTGGCCGGGCTGCTGTTTTTCCTGGCAGGTACTGTGAGCCTCTCCCCATGTGTTTGGGTCTTCTTTTATAACACTCATTTGAACAAGAAGTTTGAGCCAGTCTTTACATTTGACTATGCAGTGTATGTCACTATCGCTAGTGCTGGGGGTCTCTTTATGACTTCCCTTTTGCTGTTTGTCTGGTATTGTGCATGCAAATCTTTGCCTTCTCCTTTCTGGCAACCACTGTACTCCCATCCTCCGAGTATGCATACTTATTCACAGCCCTATTCAGCACGCTCCCGCCTCTCTGCCATTGAAATTGACATTCCAGTAGTTTCACACAACACTTAAAGGGGATATAGTTTAAAAAACTTCTTGTAGCCTCACATATCCCTTGTTTAAGGAGCTCTTTTGGCCCTCTATACATTTTCTTTTTGTTTCTGTCCAGTTAATGAAGCCAAATTTGTATATCCTGGTAGAATGAAGTGCTGCTAGTTTTTATGAGAAGTACATTCTTTTTAATGTGAATCATTCCTTTTATCTTGCTTCTTATACTAGAAGGATTTTTAATCTCCATATTGATTTATGATAAGTTGTGTAAGTGGAAAATTTGGTTGTCTTATTTAGAGCAACAGGTTATTTAGAGCAACAGGGTAAAGTCAAAAATGATGGCTAAGAGGTGTTGTCCACAATCTTTCTGACTATTTCAGAATGTGTATTTTACTTTATTTCTGTAACACCTTAGGACTGGAAAAAATGTAATTTCAGAAAGAAGAAATTTCTGTCTGGTAAGGGTAAATATGTTAACATAGTCAGTCTGCCAGCTTAAAGCTATAACTTCTTCGAGCTAATTCTACTAAATAGGATTTGCTATTTTGAAGATTTTCTTCTATGAGTTCCTTATCTTCTACCTCATGACAGTGTTTTAAAAATAAAATGCATTTTAAATGATATTAGAGAATAAGCCTAACATTTTAAATAGCTACTACTATTAACTAATATTTAACATAATTTTAAAAGTTAATGAGTCTATAGTCGTATTGGAGTTAAAATATACCAATATAAATTGGTGCTTCCTTTGAGGCCAAGTGGTACTCATGTCCATATAAAATCTCATAGTGACTAAGAGAAATAAATAAGGAGGCTGAATTTCTTTTCTTTTAGATAGTGTTTGGGGGCAGACATCTATTCTTGAGTAACAACTTCAGAGGAATACTCTGAGGCCTTCCTTTGGAGTGATGCATGAAATAAGGCAAGACTTTGCCATGACCATAGTCACCATTGGTTCACTTCCTGCCCCTACCACAGATTATTTCCCGAGCACTTATCTTTGCCCCACACTTTAGTAGGTGCTATAGAAGACACATGAAAGAGTATGGGATCTGTTCCCATCCAGTGAGAAATTTTAATCTAATAGAGTACATCAAACTCTTATCTGACAGGAAACTTTCTGACTTCTTTGGCATCTGGTCTTAATTTCTCAATCATTGATGTGGTAACATATTGCAATTATAGGGGACATGACTTTTTGGCAACTGACTTATTACACAATATAAACATTATGCTGTGACTTAGAAGTTCACTTCATTGGATCCTACTTTGATATTTGATCACTTACTTTAACCTTACTCTTTTAATAATTGTATGTCAAATTCATGAGAATGGGCAAAAGTGATAGGAAAATTAAATTGTTCCTTTTTGATCTGTGGAAATGATGTATTGAAGAGGGAAACGTATTTAAAATCTCTTATAATGGGGTAACATTTAGTGGAAATCATGTTAACACAGAGATGAAGCTTAGAAATTCAGGGATATTGAATCTTTACTTTAATTTGAGCTGCTTATTTAATTGATGTAATTTGTTCCATGTATTCATAAGGATTTTGTTCTGTTAACAATTACAGGTTTCACAAATAGTTGCATGGTAAACCAATTATTATGCTTCTTTTGCAGATCTGAATATGATTCTGATACTTTTGTAGATGTGATACTTCCCCCCACCACCACCACCAAATCTAACACTTGTTTGTGTATGTAACATCTCCAGCTGTATAACTTTGAAATGCCATCAGTAGAAAGCATGCAAGGCTATGGTGATTTCTTAGTTATAGCTTCTGATTTAGTTCTGTCCTTTTAACTCTTAGGTAACACTAAGTTTTGATCATCCCAAGGTGATGGCATGTAGAAATTTGAAATTATTATTAATTTTCCCTCTTCACAAATTTTAGTTCCCTCTCTCATTAGATTTATCCATAAGTATCAAGAATTCCACCTTTCTCCTGTTCCTTATATAATCAATATATATATATATATATATATATTTTTTTTTTTTAATGGATTCAGCCACTAATATACTAGAGAGTGTTTACTCCATGGGATCATAAATATAAATGTTTTAAGTTCTCCCTGTGGGAATCTTTTGGTTCCTAATCCATAGCCTCAAATTAATATTTATTAGGGATTTGCCTGGCAAAAGAAAGAGCTGTTTCCCTTATTGTCTTTAATATTTCAGATTTGCTATCAGCAGCTTTCTTCAAAGCCAGCAAAGAAAAGCAAGTATTATAATTCTTTTCAATAACTCATCAATAACTCATCAGGCTATTCTTGTGATGGGAGAATAATCTTTTTGTTGTCATTACAGCCTTTTAATATTAAGGGCCTTTTACAAAAGCCAGCTTGGAAAACATCCCTAAATGTAGTGTGATGTACCAGATTTGGTTTACCCAGCCTTGAGAGGAAAAAAAATCCTAAGTTTACTTTACTTGTAAATATACACTATAACAGATTATATGTTTGGCTGTAAACCACAATGTAAAACCTCAATAAAACTGCACTGTACTTCTTGATGTTTATTAAAAAGATGTATTTTTACAAGTTTCTGTTTTTGTTGTCATCTTCCATGGTGTTTTAAGGTGAAATATTTTGAATAGGTTTCTCCTATAAATACATATACATACATATATGTGTGTGTGTGTGTGTGTGTGTGTGTGTGTGTATAAATTGAAAAAGACACAGACCCACTTAAAGCCCTCAAACTACTCAAAATAATAATTGGAAGTTATAATAATTGGAAGTGGAGTTGGAAAACATGGATTTACTATTCTAGAAGCATTTTAAGGGTGATTTTAGGCACTCACTGGATGATTTTTTTAAAGATTTATTTATTTATGCATACAAGAATTGGAGTATAGTTCAGAGGTGTGGGAAGTGAGAGGATTCACCAGACACAGAGTGGGGAGCAGAACAGGCAGAGTGACTGAAACACACTGCTGAGGTGAGCAGCAGGCAAGACTAAAGAGGTCTGTACCATGTAGGGGATCCCTCGCCAGCTGGGGGATCAAACTCATGCTTTAGTGGCTCATAATAACTTGATTGCACTGTCTTTAACCTCTACCTACGCCACCAGGAAGGCCCCCTCGCTGGATGATTTTAAATTAACATGCCACAAAAATGTACTAAGTGAAGTCAATGTGTTGGATTTGCCTAATCAATAGAGTTTCTAATGGTCTGTGATCTTGGAGAGTGGGAGTTCTAAATGGTTAAGTAGAAGGAGCTTTCTTTGCTCTTGAGGTTATCAGGAGTCCTGTCAGGTAAGTTTCCTCAAAGTTTTTGAAACCTGGTATAAGCTTTTTAGTTCTTGGATTACACCTGGGATGAGCTTTTTATTTCTTAGATTATATATATAAGAGTGCATAGTTCTTTTCTTTTTTTTTCTTTTTGTATGCTAGTGTAAATTTTTAAAAAAGATTTATTATTTACTCATACAGAACTGGGGTACAGGCCAGAGGTTCGGGACTGTGAGAGTCTTCACCAGAGACAGTGTGGGGAATAGGCCGATTGATAAAGCACACTGCTGAAGGGAGCGATGGGCCGGACAGGAGGGGTCTGCTGCGCCATGTGAGTCACCTCCGTGGCTGGGGATCAAACTCATGCTGAAGTGGCTGTAGCTTCTTAGTGTTGTGCTTTAACCCACTGCACCACCAGGGAGGGCCCGCTAGTGTAAATTTTTTAAAAATTTAATTTTTTACATCATTCTTCATTTTATGCATTTTTTCATCTCAGTTGTAATCCCCATGGACTTCCCACCACCAATTCACCCCTGTGCATCACCATAGTCCCATAGGAATGTATAATTCTTATATGCATTCTTCACTGAACCCATGGCTCTTTTGATAGTACCTTAGATAGCAGAACCTATGTTGTACTGGAAATCTGAAACTGCTTCAGTCTAGGCATCCCCAGCTGATTACAGTAACATACCACAATCCAGAGTCAGTCCCTTAGTTGGACAGGCTCACTGAGAGTGACAAAATGCTAGGGAGTATCTTCATCCTAACCAAAGCGACAAACTAATATACCAAGAAATACAGATTACTTGGAACCCCTATCAGAGATCAGCTTTTAAAAATGCATTCTATACATAGCTCCTTGGAAAAAAGGAGAGATTCTAGTCCTGGGGTAGAAAAGTACAAAATGAGCCAGCACAGCTTGTTAAATGCTCAAAGATAATAGGGGCTTAATATGTTTATACAAATAAGAGAGGAAAAAAAAGCTGTTCTTATAGTAAAATACCAAATAATGGAAAAAGATGGATTTAGAAAACATGAATAGAAATAAAACTAGTTGGTCCAAATTTGATGAAAAACAGGATTTTAGTCTCAAAATTGTGTCACAAATTAATTACTAATTTCAGGAAAACAGTGACTTGCCTGTTCCTTTTTTTCCCCCTCCTTATCTGTCCTGATCATGCTACCTAATTATTTTTCTAAAAAGGGCACTAAAAACTTAGTCTGAGTTGGCACCAAAATAATTTTTTTTAATTTTTTTTAAAAAGATTTATTTATTCATACAGAACTGGGGTACAGGCCAGAGTTGCAGGGGCGGTGAGAGGCTTCACCAGAGACAGAGTGGGGGGCAGAACAGGCAGAGCGACGAAGTACACTGCTGAGGGGAGCAGCGGGCGGGTCAGGAGAGGTCTGCCACGCCATGTGGATCTCCTCCTGGGCAGGCGGGGATCGAACTCATGCGGAAGTGGCTTTCGATTCTTAGTGCTGCGCTTTAACCCGCTGCACCACCAGAGAGGGCCCAAAATAATTTTTTAATAATAGCTTATTTTTACATCTTTTTGTGCCTTTTTCCATCTCAGTTGTAATCCCCGTGGGCTTCCATCACCAAATCCGTGTGCCATCACCATAGTCCAGTGCACTTCCCTCCCCCCACCGTTTTTGATCCCATTCCACCCCCATAAAATTTGACTGTTCGTTATTACTATTATTTTTTCCCCTGGTCCTTTATGCTCCTGCTATGAGTGAAACCATCTGGTGTTTTTTTCTTTTCATTTCTGGCTTATTTCACTAAGCACGATCCCTTCCAGCTCCATCCTTGTTGCTGCAAAAGGCATGAGTTTATCATTTTGACTGATCACTGAGTAATATTCCATTGTGTATATGTACCACATCTTTTTAGTCCAGTCATCTACTTTTGGGCATGTGGGCTGATTCCATGTCTTTCCTATGGTAAATAAAGGAGCAATAAACATACAGGTGCAGGTGTCTTTTTGAATCAGTGTTTTTGTGCCCTTTGGGTAGACACCTAGGAGTGGGATTGCTGGGTCATATGGAAGCTCCATTTTTAGCAGTTTGAGAAACCTCCTAACAGTTTTCCATAGTGGTTGTATTAGTTTGCATTCCCACCAGCAGTGCAGGAGAGTTCCTTTTTCTCCACATCCTCACCAACATTTGTTGTTGCTAGTTGTTTTAAGATGGCACCAAAATAATTTTTAGGTAATACTTCTAGGAAGGATTTTGAAGCAATTGTGTCAGGTCATCTGTCCTGAAAATGGAAAGGTCCCTCAAAGGACATGTCAGTCAACATTACCAAACCAAAGACTTGGTGGGGTGTTAATCAGCTGTCCTGTTTCCATTGGTCAGCAGTGTTTTCAATCTTAAAGCATACTGGCAGGTTGACCTAAGAAGTCTCTACCCTTTCCACCCTCCCCACCTTGGAAAAACCTTTCTAAAAGAAAGTCATTCTTCCAGTTCTGCTGGGTGCCTCCCCACCTCATCCTGGAAAGGTCCTGTGTCAGTGCCAGAGGCTGGAGAGACTTTTCAGCCTTACGCAGGACTGTGGAGCTAGGCGAGAGTAACTCAACTGCTTACCAAGCTGTCATATCTAAATTTGCTGCCAAAAAGGAACTTGGAATTGTTGGTTGTATTTGCGAAAGACACTAATTTGTCAAACTGTTCTAATAAGAGAACTTAGTAAATTTTCCTTCTTCTGTGTGACTGGAGCCTATCTAGCCAGAGTTTAGGAATCATAATTTGGAGTGGTTCTCATTCACCAGAATCCTCTATAGAAGGAATATATGTTCCTGTTTCCAGGGTTTTGCTTTGTTGAAATAGGTGTAACAGCTTCTCTGTAAGAAAAAAAAGCATGAGTGATAATTTTTACTGCATTATATTTAATTACCTTGCTTCAAGGTTCACTTTGAAAGGATACTTTTTTTGTAAATAAATCAGGTAATTGCTTAATTTTAAGATAATGTTTGCCTTTTTCCATGTCACTTTTCTTGCCCTTATTCTCAGAGACTAACCCTGTAGTCTTGAAGGTACAGATGGAGTTTAAGTGCTAGGAAGCTGCTGTTAAGTAGTGAGGACCCCTGATCCTGACAACCCCACTCTGGGAGGAGCAGAAGCCCAGGAAGCCCGTTTTCCCCCTTGCTGGCCACGGGATGAGTGTTGGTCTGGCCGGTCCTTTGTCTTCCCAACCGACAAACCTGCTTCTGGTTGCTTGATCTTCAAGAGCGCCAAAGCAGGGAGAGCTGGAGCCACGTGTGCACATCTCTTCCCATCCGTGCACATCTCTTCCCAACTTTCTGTTCCGTGACACGATGTTGGTAACTTTAAACTGGCTATGGTGGAATGATTATGCTATGAGAATGAGCAAATGCTACAAATTAGGTCTTGCTCTCCCTCCCTTCTCTCTCTCTCCTCGCCACATACTGTTGCTCAGTTGAAATTAATTAGCCGAGCGTCAGGTTAGTTGGTGAGTTGATCAGGAATCATAGCTAGTTCTGAGAACCACAGATGTATCTAATGAAGGAACTCTGAACTTATCTCCAGTATTGCTTTCTCCTGACTGTGAATCTGGCAACAGTTAAATCTAATGAAAACAAACAATGTAATTTCCTATTTAAAATATTTCAATAACTTCCTCTCAAAACAGAGACCAAAAGGCCTCCCTGGTGGCACAGGGGTTAAAAGACAGCGCTATCAAGCTTTCGGTAGCCATTGCAACATGAGTTTGATCCCAGGCCAGGGAGCTGACCCATATGGCACAGCAGATCTCGCCAGTCCAGACGACTGCTCCCTTCAGCAGTGTACTTAGTCAGCCTGTTCTGCTCCCCACTCTGTCTCTGGTAAATCCTCTCACCCCCACCCCTGCACCTCTGGCCAGGACCCCAGTCCTTGTAAACATAAATAACTAAAAATAAATCCTAAAAAAAAATCTTAAAAAGTTCATTGCCAAAATGTGGTACACTAATCTGAATGAAGTGTGTATATTGAGGGTTGGATATATGAAAGATCTGCTACATTGGTAACAAAATTACTTCTAATTTTGGTTAGGTTGGGAGTAACCACCTTTGTTACCAGAAAATTAACTGAGTTGTCAAAGTAGATAGAATTTGGAATAGAAGTTAGATGCATTTACAGTCAAGTGAATCTGGTATAGTGATTATGTTGTTGTACCATTCCAAAAAAAAAATGAATAGAATATTTTTATCTAACCAACTGATTATTTCTTGGACTAGTCCTTCAGAAACAAAAAACAAAAAAACATAGTTTCCCAGGAA